AGGGTTGGTATACAGCAGTTCAATTTGAGTGAGAATCAGGAGAAGCTTTCATTTAATCTGACATCCCATCACAAAAACCACAAACTGTCAAGATTCAATCCCAGCAGAATTATCACTGCAAAGTTCTGTATAATTCACCAGCAATGGATGAAAAACAAGTAATCTCATAGTGAGACCTACATAATCAAAACCAACATTCATTTGCTCAGTGCTCCATAACAAAACTGAGCTTCCCAAAAGCAAGACAGAGATTAAACTGAGAACAAGTGCACAAGGCCTAAAATCCATGAAACACTTAAGCAGAAACTGGCTGATGGTTGAATCAAAAGCAAAGCTGATAAAGCAAACAGTGAAATGCCAGGGATTACACAAGAACTTTCTGAGAGGCCAATTATGAGCTAAGAACAGATGATCTTAAAATGCCACTGTAAATAAAATATAATAATAATAATAATAATAAAATGTATACAGTGAATATGTAGAAACGGCAAGAAGTTTCTACACATCCATGTTTAAATGGAAAATCTCCTAGGAAATACAGTACACAAATAGAATTCATGCAGGCAAGTATCCTGGATATCCTGGATAAAATCTCTTCAACACGGTTTAAACTATGCCTGTGGGTTTTTTTGCCCATCTATCACCATACTTTTAGTGTAGCTAAGGTAAACAGCCACTTCAAAGCAGTAGCAACAAAACAACTCACTCCTTGCGAAAAACGTTGTTGATGATGAACTTCTATGTGCTCTTCTCTAGTGATCCTTGAGGGTCGTGGCAATGTTTCCACCTCCCTGATGGCTTCCATGGTGACTTGCTGGGGCAGAACTTGGAAGAGGGAAGTCACATACATGAAGATGGACTTCTTATCTGGACAGACAGTTGCAACATCTGGAAAGCAGATTAACATATATCAGTTTCTATATCAGACAGTGTGCATGAGAAGATAACTAATAAAGTTCATGGAGAGTTGATAGACTAATGAGCAAACCATTGGTCATGTTAGTTCTCCAGAGACTAATTACAGCTTTATAATCAGTTTCATATCTGCATACCAGTGAGAAAGAGCCAAAGTTTAACAAGGTAGTTGTTTTCTTGTTCAATATTCTCTTCTATATTTCTTCTCCAGTGGAAATGCAGATACAATGCAATTTGACAGCATGACCCTCATTAGACAGAACTATAAATAGGAAAAGCTCTAGCTTCTTGTGTGGTGCAAATGCTGCAGCTACCACTTAGTAAATAAGTGTCCTTATTTTTTTATCTTACATATCCTCTTAATATCATTTAATCACTGGACTTGACAATGATATAGGGTGTAAAAGCTCTACAGGTTTATCTACTAAATAGGTTCATACAAAGTGCCTATGAAAGCCAACCTCTGACATAGGAGCCTATCTCTTATCCTTTATGTACTCTAAAACTTCTAAACTTCGTGATGACATAACAACTCTATTGAAAAAAAAATCATTAAGTGCTCTACTTAGACATAAACAGTAAGTACAAGTATCTTTTCAGGAACACAAAGATGATTTCAAGTTGTGCACATAGCTGTGACTTACCAGCAGGAAAAATGGCTGATCTGCCTCAACATACGAAGTCAATAACAATTTGTAAAAATGTAAGTTATGTGGTAGCTCTTTTAAGTAGTTCCTTGGTTAGATGGCATTAAAATTTACATCAGTCAATTGAGTGAATCAAGATACACAGAGACTGTTGTACAAGAAACTTATCATTAATCCCATAAGTGTTTAAATATAAGTGCTGGCAGAAACCCAGGAGTTGTGCATTTTTACTATCATAGATTTATTCGGGCCTTGACAATATCTCAGAAGAATTGCAATCCATATATATTCTAGCAGACTAAATAATGCTACAAGACGGCTTCTCTTTCTCTCTTCCTAGAATGCAGAATATATAAGAGCAGGCATCATGTGCTAAAATATATCTCCATATATATTTGGAAATCAAGAAAAGGTACCTGGACAAGTATCAGTATTTTTGTTTTGGTTTTCTGTTTTATCTCCTTAGCTTTACTTGATACATTAGAAAAGAGAGCTGAAAATTTAGTTCTATTTAGAATTGGCTAGAAAAATGTTCCTCACCTTCCTCACCTCTGTTCCTCGCCTCCCCTCCAATATTTATTATCTCTGTAGTAATAATATGGTCATTTTAGAATATATGTGACTTTTCCAACCCAAGTACAGCCTGTGCCTCCACAGGCTTCACTTCTGTGGTATTATTTCAGTCTGAAAACATTTTGCTAGCACTTCTTTTTGGCTTTGATAATTTAACAAAAAGCATTTTGCTCTCCTTGGTGTCTAATATTAATTTACGTTCACAAAACTATCCATCTCCTTATAAAGGCAAGGTACACACAGAAAGGTTATACACAAAAATAGCATTAATGCCAGCAGTGTTACTCTTCATTATTTTCCTTTTAGGAGTATTCTGGTAGTTAAGTAAACTCCTTATCCTATATCCTTATCAGATATCATAAATAAAGCATAAAGCTTACAAAAAATACACATGCTGAAAATTGTTTGCCCACTCTGACAAATATATTTATGCATCTATCAGAATTCATTGCAAAAAAAGGAAAAGATATAATTATAATTATTGCATCAAAGAGAAAAGCAACCATGGTTACAAGGCCTGGAATTTCAATTGGTGTTTGAAAATTATTTTTGCAGTCTCCTGAATTACCAGACCAGGTAAGATGTCTGTTATCCTGTACTATACCTTTGCCTTCATATTCTTTTTCTCTTTGATGCCAATCTAACATATTCTCTTTGCCAACTGTTAGACTGACGGCTATTTGAAGTCTTAACAGGTGGCTAGAAAATAAATCTGAATTTAAAAAGTTTGTTGCAAGCAGATCTATCAGTTCCTTGGAAATGTGTGTCAGCCCTCAGTCTGAGGCAAATTCTTTCAGCTAACCTATACCCTCTAATGACTAATCCCTAAATCTCTGAAAATACAGAAATTCCTATTAAACTCAACATATGTGGGCTATACCATTACTAAGATACTGCTTTAGAGAAATAAAGGAAACACACAATTGGACATTTGTCCAAAGGTCCCATTCAGGGATCTTTTTCAAAAACAAGATGCCTTCTCCAAATCAAAATCAGAAGCAACACTCCATAGTTCTATTCACTTTCTTGGCAGCAACTAGTCAGATAGGATTTACAAGAATAAATAAGAATAGGAATTAGTTAGATTAGAGGTCAAACAAGACTTTAAAATGGAAAGTGTTACGATCTTAAGACAAATCCTATAATTATGTAAGTATTATGTAAGTGGTAAAAAAACAAATTATTGGATTCTTGAAGACATTGAAGAATTCTGAAAACTATTTCAGCCTTTTAACAAGACACAGTTACAAGAAAGGACTGGGAAAAAAAATCCGGCAAGATTTTTCCAGTTATCAAGAGGAATCTACTGCTCTTGAAGACTTCATGCTGGCAGAATAAAGTTCTCCCGAAAAAAAAAGACACTGATTTTTAGACAAAATATACTGTTCAGAGAAGGAGTTTCTGGTATGTCCTATTACACATGAGCTCCTATCTTTAGAAGGATAGTTTCCTTTAGCATCATCTATAGCAAAATAAAAGAAACTCTCTGGCTATTGGAAGAGCAGTGGAGACTAGCCTGTCCAGCTGAGGTCTCCAGTGAGCATCCTCCTCTTTTGCCATGCCAAACATAGTTTTGGTTAGACACTCAAATTGGAACAGCAAAGAGAAACAAAAAAAAGCCGACTACTTCCAAGACACAGACTGCAGAACATGTCTAATAATATGAAGACACGAAGAGCACTAGAATGCCAACATAAATTTTCATGAACTAAGTCATTTTGTTCATCTGGAGTTGCAGCTACTTGGCTTACAATCCCAAAAGAAAAGGAAGAACTTTAAACTGTAAAAGAAACCGCACACCCTGTTTAACCATTGCTGCCTACAAAAGCTTTATTCAGAAACAAATAGGCCCTATACATTTTCACAAAGGCTTGATTTTTAAAAGCAAATTTTGACCATTTTCCAATGAACAAAATAACAAGTTTCTACAATTCACTTTAGTTTGGTTGTTTGTTGAGGATTAGTGGCTACAATAAACCTGGAATGTTCTGAAACAGAATGCTGGGCCGAAGAAAAAGGTTCAACCCTTCTAAGAGTGATCCACCAGTCAGTTTTGATATTCCTTCAATTTCACAAGTTTTTTTTTTTTTTTTTTCTCTCTTTGCCGCATTATATTCTGTCAACAAGCAATTTTCTACAAGTAATTCTGGTGGAAAGAAGCACTTTGAAGAATTTGAAAGTGAGGATGGTACAAAGCAGTTAAATAATCTTCATTTTAGGAAGTGCTGTGCTTACCTACCAACAACAAAATCCAGGATTTCTCAATACTATATATATAGAATCACAGAATGGTTGAGGTTGGACGGGACCTCTAGAGATCATCTAGTCCAACCCCCCTGCTCCAGCAGGGACACCTAGAGCACGGGACACAGGGTGACATCCAGGCGGGTTTGGAAGATCTCCAGAGAAGGAGACTCCACAGCCTCTCTGGGCAGCCCCTTCCAGTGCTCTGTCACCCTAAAGATAGCACACTGTCTTTGTGTACTGTGCATTAAAAAAGCATTGTTCTCACTTCTATAAGAAGACTCTCAAGGTTGATTTGAATTTCAGAAATAGACATCACACAACTTCTTTCTTTCTTGATAAAGAGGCTTTTTTTCCTCTCAGTATTAAATATAATCTTTTATTTTAAAACTTATTAATGACAATAACAGAACATTAACATTTATTAGAATTTCTGAAAACAAACACCTATCTTCAAAAGCAACCGTTTAAGAGGACTTAAAATAGATAACTAATTGAACAAGCTATTAGATTATTGAGATAAGACAGAACCTATCTAATATGTAAAATACTTGTTTCAACAATGTAAATACATCACAGGAGGGACTGAGTCTTTGTGCGTATTTATGCAGTAATGCCCACTGTGGCACCAGCCTCAACTGGAGCATCCAAGATGATGGCAAAGTAGAAATACCTACAAACATTGTAATGCAAAACAGGGCATAAATGAGGCAAGCTATTTTAACTAAGAATTAGTGGAAAAACAAAGCAAAACAAAAGCTTCTTGAGTCCTCTTTCAATGTGAAGGCTGAGGACACAGAAGCAGTTGCGATGGTTCCATTGTATGAGCTAATGATTTGATCTGGAAACATTCCTCAGAGTCAGGCACCCAGGCAGCACTGGGGAATAAAAAGAGCCATGTGCAAACATTTGTGTATTCCTGTGATGTATTTAATTGTTTAGGCTTATTAAAAATATTTTGGAAATATGGACTTTATACAGACATATTATCAATCAGCTAAATTATTTACATATAAGACCTTAAAACTACTACTAACTTCAAAAGAATTTGCATCAGTGTTTACTCTCCATTCATGAAAAAAGAAAACACCTCCCTTAAGATACACAGAATAATGCAAGTGATAGCTGATTTTCACCCATTTCCTTTTTTTATTCTCACATATAGCTTAGTCTAATGGTGACAAAACTCAAACTCTTTAGGAAACTATTAATTTAAAAAATGAGTCAACCCCAAAATCATAAACCCTTTTATCTATGCAGATCTGAGGAATGCCTGTTAAGCCAGCAGCCTAGGGCAACACTGTTAGAGCGGAAAAAAAAAAAAAAGAAAATCAAAAACAAAACAACACACACACACACAAAACACAGACAAAAATTCACTACCTAAACCACAGGAAACTTCTGTGGCTTCTGTGACTTCAGTCACAGGACAGGAATATACTATGAATTGCTAGACAGTTTTACAATATAAATGAATGGGGAAAAAAAGAAAAAAAAAGAAGTCAAAAT